GGATTATGTAATAAAGCAGATGAAAACACAACATTTTCACCAACACAAGCCATCCTAGGGATCTTTTGCATTACAAAAGCATCTTATGTAATTTGAAACACAACTGGACACAATTAGTAGTACAGAACAAATGAGCACTGAAAGAAAATACTATCCTCATACTTTTAATACGGAATCGATTACTTTAAAAAGCAAATCCACAGCAGACAAAACATTGGAGAAACCGTTCTAAAGAAAATCTGCAAATTAAAACCAGGGCATCAGAAAGTTCTTGCTTGAACTAACAAATGATGCTCTTCTTAATTCAAGTCTGCACAAATATGGGCTACAGGAGGCATTTAAATTGATTTAACAAAATCTGCCCAGTTAATACTGTGCTCATTTAAGGCATGGCTTGAGCTTCTGTAAAGTCATTTTTCAAATTTCAACATCGGACAGAATTAGCACCCTCATTTTTATGATAATATTGCTAATTTAATGCATGGCTTGAAGTTAGACTTCAAAGTGAATCAGAAAAATATGCCTTTTCTCTTGTCAGAGACATCTCTCTTCACGCACCAGTGGTTTGACCTTAAAATTTTAACTTCAACTGCACAAAATTACTCTCATATTTCAACTATTCTTTCATAATTCAATCAGTTAGTTTGTCCATTTTAGATAGATCTTGCAATACCTTGCCCATGAAAGCTAAAACAAGTTTTAACATTATCTTTTTACGTTTATACTCTGGATAGATCAAGATCAGAAACTTTTCAGTATAATATTAAACATTCAGTTCATAATGAACTTAATAAAACATGCAAAACCAAAAGACGAACTTAAGTGGCCAAGGGAAGTCTTTCCCACTATTTAAATCTCTTTCCTCCGTCCTCCGTTATGGCACTGAAAAATCAAGTGGCAATGATGAATTAGATTTGCACAAACAAAAACCTACAGTACACGAGGGCTTCCAGCACTGAAAATATTGTATTCTTTACTTTTCCTCTAAAACACTGAGCTATCTCCACAAACGTCTACCTGGCAAGCAAAGGAAGGCTGACGATGTAATGGAGGGTGAAATGATAATGTCCTCTTTCGTAAATGGAATCCAGCCGACGATAACAATACACTCACACAGATTTGCAGGGCATTCTGGATGGCGTTTCAAATACCTCATCCCCCTGCACTTTAAGAACCTGCAGTCAGGTCGCCCTTTACACAGGAGACAAGTGACCATTTTAAACAGACTGAGGGAAAACCTACACCATACTACTACAGCAATTATGTCAGGGCAGAAACAGGAGGAGGTGATGGAGGAAGAAAAAGAAAAAGAATTCAACAAGGCAAAATTCGCAGAACACACTTAGGATTGGGAGAGACAATTCAAGGGAATGCAAATGAAAATTTGCCAGCTATGAATCTCCTATTAATTAGAAGCCTCGAACTGTTGGTAAGTGTGTAAACATTATGCCCTGCTTGGTAGACATTCTGGTAGGTGCCTGTATGCATACCCTTTGGTGCAGGAATTTCACTTCTAGGTTTTATTCAATAGAAGCACACCCAAGCTTGCAAAAATATATGCATTCCATTCAGTGCACTGCATGCGCTGCCCTCACTGTAGCACTTTTGAGTAAAAAATGTGACGGAATGCTCTGTTATTCAAATACATTTGATTGAAATAAGCGTTGCTAAATATTCTTTAAAATATGAATTTATTTTTGTGAAAAGACAGTGTGCTCATATACACAGAAACATTTAGGATATGTGCCAAATGAAAGAGAAATGAGAACATTACTGAATTGTTTAAAATTTTTACATATGTTGCCTGCATTAAAAAGCAACGAATCTATAAATATTACTGTTAATTAATGGTTCTTTTATGACCTTGGCCTTCTAATATAAACTCACTAACATATCTGATACATTCTCTTATCCATTAGAGGAACAAAGTTCATGATTTTACTATAAAGGCTTCAAATAAAGAAGTTCAGAGTGCCTTTCTAGTTGTTGAAATAATTATGTAAATAGTGTTGAAGCTTATTATTTATGTTGAAAATTAACAAACAGATGTACAGTGAGGGTTAATGGGATCTTTAATGGGTTTCTTTATATAAAGGGACAATTTGGGGCAAAAAATTTTTTTCTTAACTGTTCTATAATAACTGGCATGTCTACTTTTAATTATCTTAATCACCCTCTCTTCTTTATTGAGTTGACACTGTTTGTATATCTTAATGAACTTACATAGATTATTTCAATCGATTGGTTTTGTTAACAGAACAATAAATCCTGACTGATAAAGAATGCAGGATGTAATTAGTTAGCTCTTCTTATTATGTGAATTTCTGATTCTTCTGTAATGAGTAATTAAAGATTAATAAGAAAGATAGTCTCAAATTAGCTGCTTCTTATCTGTAAATGCTTCAGGATGTGTGGGGATCAAGCCACATTTGCATTCTCACCACTAGGCTGGCAACTATAGTAACTTGGCAGCAAACCCAAAGTTCTAACTATCTGAAAGTTGTCTTCCAAAGAACTATGCCTCGAGGCCACATAATTTCATGATAAGATGGCTGAGTGGATCAACTACATCCTCTTCACTTCTGCTCAGAAAACAGTGCAAGGTGAAGCCGGACCATGTCTGAGTCTTTACCATGCCACCTTTTCTGGCTGTGTAACTCAATGCAGCTTCATGCCTCTGTCTCCATGCTACATGGCACAGGGCTGGGGTGAGGGTTCAATGAGATAATCCACACAGGACACTTAGCAACTGACTTGTACACAGTGAGCACTCTATGGGAAGCAGTTGTGGTGATTATTCATTCAACAAATATTTAAACTCCTGCTATTTGCCAAGCACTGCCTAGGTGCTGGGGATACACGCATGAGTGAACAAGACTAACTCCTGCTCCCAAGGAATTTAGTGTTCTCTTTCTTTTCCCTTTCGTCTTTAGGATTTCTTAAAATCAGAACCTTTTGTTCTGAGAGTCTGATCAGAAGAGGCCTGTATAGACAGGTTACTAGTTCAGGCAATCCCCTCGGCCATCTTCATGTCCCTTAGAGGCCCAGGCCCTCTGCCTGGAGAACACAAGTGGGTGTCATGCCCATGCAGAAGGCAGCCCAGTCATAAGGCTCCATTGACAATATACTCTCCTCAGGGGTTTAGGGGAGCCATGCAGACCACAGTAAGCATTCTCAGAGCACCCTCTTCTTTTGTATCCCACCACTGGCTGAGGAGCCCTGTGCACCAGCTTGACTCTGGTGCATCAACTCAGATGATCCCAGCAGCAACCCTGTGGGCAAGGTGAGTACACCCACTTCACAGTTGAGAGGGCTGATGTCCAGACTAAAGTAATTAGCCCCAAGACACACAGCATATGTGTGTGAATGTGATTCAAAACAGCCCAACTCCAAAACCCAGGCTCTGCCCCCGTCACCATGCTGCCTCCACTGCCCATAGCAACTACTCCACCTCCCAAATAGATGCGATGTGTGTTATTTTCATGCAAAAGAACAAGTGTCTGCCACACACATGCACTTGGCTAAGTGCTCAAGGACTCAGAAATCAGGCTCACTGTGATGAGCCTTTGGAAAGAGAGCAGGAGGAACATAAAGGGCATGATGAAAATCATACCAAATAATCAGTGGGAAAAAGAAAAAGAACTGGAGAATGTAAACTAAAAATAAAATTCTAAGACCACCACCCACCCACGTGAATGGACTTCCTCCTCTACATAGGAGACAGGGGCTCTTTTAAAATTTAATCTGAGAGACTGTTTCAGGCCGTGATGGGAAACAGGGGGCGAACATGCCTCCTTACACCTCTCTGGCATGAACATCAATACGGACTTTAAGTCCAATAAGAAACATTTTACAACCTATTCTCTCCGAAGCCTAGGACATGAAGGCTTCCTCTGCAAATAAGAACTTGGGCATCCACTAACCTTTATCTTAACCCAGACATTCCTTTCTATTCACCTCAGCTCTTTACAGAAACTCAACCAATTGTCAACCAGAAAATTTTAAAATCTGCCTATAAGCTGGAAGCCCCTGCTTTGAGTTGTCCTGCCTTTCTGGACCAAACCAATGTATTTCTTAAATGTATTCGACTAAAGGCTCATGTCTCCCTAAAATGTAGAAAACCAAGCTGCACCGGTGAACCAAGCTGAACAGGTGCCCAACCACCTTGGGCACATGTTAGGACCTCCTGAGGGCTGTGTCAACAGGCCATGGTCACTCATATTTGGCTCAGAATAAATCTCTTCAAATATTTTGCAGAGTTTGACTCTTTTCATTGACAAGATAGAGACCTGAATAAGTGGTCATTTCCAGGCTACACGACTGCCCTGTCTCAGCCTTGGTTCCCTCATCTGCCACTTGTCAGCTTTGTGACCTCGACAAGTTACTGACACTCTTCCAATCTGAGCACCTTCATTTGAGAATGTGCCCAAACCACCCCCTACCTCCTAGAGTTGCTGTGAAAAACCAAGATAATAAAAATATGAAGAGTAAGGCATTTATTAAAAGTAGGCATTTAATAAATGCTGCCTTTTTTTCCAGAAGTTGAAATAAAGTGTTCTATGAGCCATAAACCACTCTCCATATTTTAGTTGCTTCATTGCCATCATTATTATTATTATTAATAATTATCATCATCAATATCATCAGGCTAACCTAGCTGGAAGTTAATTTCCATGTGAGAAATTCTAGTGGTTTGGTGAAAATCTTGCTAAGTCTGTTTTCCAAGAATCTGAAAATGTCAGCTCCCCAGGAGTACATCTGGTGTGCCATTCTCTCAGATGGTGTGGCTATGTGGTAGGTTAAGACAGGCAACGTGTTCAACTGCATTTCCAAAAGCCCTTCCACTGTCCATGACTCTGTGAACTTTCATGAGACTAAACAGGTCTCACATTCTGGCATCTAGGTGCTCTGGATCTAACAGTCAGAGCAATGTTAACCAGTCACTGCCAAAAGATCAAATGAACCCAAGTGCAAAGAAGGCACAAAACAGCTGCACTCACAGCAATTATGTTGAAGAAGTCATCATCCCCAAGTGTATCCAAAATGGATGAGACGGTTTGCTTTGCGATAGTCAGGCGGAGTCCTTTCATGCTGCCACTGACGTCAACTAAAATGACCACATCTTTCGGAGAAGTTGCTGCCTGGATGTACCTAGGTCAAGGGAAAAATTAAGTAAAAATGAATCCTGACTTCTCTTCAAGGTATCTCTTTGAGAAATAACGAAGAGGTCTGACCACTGCCTACCATTTTCGGTTCCTGCAGTCAAAGGCAATGACTCCATTCTCATCTGGTTCCCATTTAATCCCTAGAAGAAAAATGGGGTTATGAGAAACCCAGAAACTTCAAATATTTATTCATAGCGTTTCAAGGCTGCTCTACTTTGCTGATTGAATGGACAGGGTGAAAAATCACATGCAAAGACCAACTCCGGGGCTCATCACATGCTCCATCGCCAAATCCAGGCAGGAGCTTTCGGGTCATAACCCTATAGCAAACAGCGCTAGCTCAGCTGCTCCAAAGGCCTGCAGAGAGTGAAGATGTTTTTAGGACTGTGCTGTCCATCCAGAGAGTATGCGACTCCAGTTCCTTCCCTTGGCTAGGGATCAAGGTAGCGAAGGTCGTTTCTTACTGTCCAGAAAGTTGTTGGACCTGGGGGGATCATCCATAGATCTCTGGGCAGAGTCTGGCCCCATCCCTGGACCAGGTGATGTAATGTCTACAACAGGGGGGTTGAAAGCATAGATACAATGTTTCCAACTAAGGATATACACAGGTCTGTTGCATCCTCACTCCTGTTTTTAAAATCAGAAATTTTGGCCTGGCTTTCCACACTGAAATGAAATAAAATGGCTCTCATTATGCTGCATAATAAAGTTTGAATTTCAGCTCCTGAAGCCTGGGGAGTTTTCCCCATGTGTAAAACCAGATCCAACATCCTTAGTCTTGTGGTTTGCAGCCTAGTCAGGATATATCCCACTTAGCTTTTAAGAATAAAATATCATTTGAAAAGAAAGGCATTGGCTGCTTAAAAATAAGACAGAAAATCACTGTTTTCAACCACCAGTTCTGCTCAGGGATGGAGGATTTGCAACAGAGACTCTGGAGATAGGAAAATAAAAACAGAGATATCATTTTCACAGGAGAGAATCCTGACTCAGCTGGTGGCATTAAGATTCTTTTTTCCGATTAACAATGGCCAGCTTTCTAAAGGACCACACTGGGCTAATAATAGGCATCTGCTGAAGATAACATCCCCAAATTATCACACAGATAACCTTGAGACAGTAGTCTGTAATCCAAAGAGATATTGGGTTCTGTCCTTCTTGTACCTACATTTCCCATTGCACATGTGTCTAATTTAAAAACACTCCCCATAAGAAATCAGAAAACAGAAGTGTAAGAAGCCACTGCCAAATTGGAGGTCATTAGGTAATAAAGATAAAATGCAACTAACATGATGTTGTACACTAAGGGACATGAATGCAATTAATTAAAAAAAAATCTGACACCTGCTTTGCATAAAACCAGGTACCATTAGGATGGCACAGTCTTGATAAACAGTGAAGTTATATCCCTGGTGAGGCTAGGCAATGCTCCAATTTATACTTCCACAAATAACTGGCTTGAATGTGATATAAAGAGAAATTTTTATTTTTTGTTTTTTAAATGTGTTGACCCATGGGAGGTGTTCAGTGGATGTTTCTTGAACTGAACTGCGAAGAGTGACCTTAGACCACGGTCATCCCCGCCGATACTCTGATCGTCCACCAACATTTTCCGGCTCTGGCATCCTTCCCCAGATTACAGCCCTATCACTGTGTGCTCCACGGGGAGCAGAAAGTATTTTATCATCTTTGACTGCCCCAACACTTAGGCTGAAACCATTTCCTTGCATATGGGCTTGTTTCTCATTCCAGGCACGCTGAAGCTTGGTGCTTCCCCCTGCCCCCAGGATGGAGTTTCACTCTGTTGGCTGGAGGGCAGTGGTGTGATCTTGGCTCACTGCATCCTCAGCCTCACCAGTTCAAGTGACTCTCCTGCCTTAGCCTCCTGAGTAGCTGCGATTACAGGCACCCATCACCACACTTGGCTATTTTTAATTTTTTTTATTTTTAGTAGAGATGGGGTTTCACCATGTTGCCCAGGCTGATCTCAAACTTTTGGGCTCACCTCAGCCTCTCAAAGTGCTAAAATTACAGGCGCAAGCCACCACGCTCAGTCACTCGGTGCTTTTTGAAAAGCTGACATGAAATTAGTCTGCTGGGAAAACCAACAAAGAATACAATTCCAGTATGAAAGTGGATCGGACGGGACAACCTCAGAGCATCTTGTCTACTAATCACAATTTTCATCCAACTGGCAAGCCCTCTGCCAGTCAGTGGACATACAGCAGTGATGGAGAAAGAGGGACTTGGCTCCTGCCTGCCCTCAGGAAGCCTCATAGCTAGTAAGGAAGCAGACACTGGATGAGAAGTCGCAGGTATTGGAGATGTCATAGAGGAGAAATACCTGATGCATGTTAGTAGATAAAGGCGACCCTAATCCCTAATGTCAGAAAGACATCTTCAAGCTGAGAGTGAGAATGATGATGCACTGCTGTGCTAGGGCTGCTGTAACAAATTACCTTTGTCCCTTGGTGGCCATGGGGCATTTGCTCCAGAACCCCCACCCTCGGTCTGTGGATGCTCATGTCCCTGATACAAAGTGGTATAATATTTGCATATAACCTATGTGCATCTTCCCATATACTTTAAATCATCTCTAGATTTCTTACAACACCTAACACACATCAACAGTTGTTATACTGTATTGCTTTTATTTGTATTATTTTTTATTGTTGTAATTTTTTTCTTGAATATATTTTCCATTCATGGTTGATTGAATCCATAGATGCAGAATCCACGGGTATGGAGGACCAAATGAACAACAAAGTAAGTGGCAGAATAGAAAGGTATTCTCTCATAGTTTTGGAGGCTAGAAGTTCAAACTCAAGGTGTCAGCAGAGCCAAGCTCCATCTAAAAGTTCTAAGGGACACTCTTTGCTAGCCTCTTCCTAGCTTCTGGTAGCTCCCGGTAATGCCTGGTATTTGTCAATTTAGAGCTGTGTCACTCCAACCTCTGCCTCCATCTTCCCATGGCTGCCTTCCCTCTGTGTCTGTGTATCCTCTCTTTTTTATATAAGGGCATCCATCCTATTAGATTTAGGGTCACCCTAAACCAGTATAAGAACCTCATCTCAACTTACCTACTTACATCTGCAAAGGCCCTATAGCCAAGTAAGGTCACATTCTCAGGCTCCTGGTGGACATGAATTTTGAGAGGACACTATTGAACCCACTATATATGGGTAGGATTTGTTAAACAAAAGCAAGGGTTAAACAAAAGCAGGTGACAAGGTAGAGAAGAACATCCCAGGCAGAGAGAACAATGTGTGCAAAGGCCCTGAGGCTGAGAAGACATGTCCTGTTCAAGGAATTGAAGGAAGGTTGGTTTGGCCATGTGTAGGGGACGTCCCCGCCAGAGGCAAGGAGCCTGGGTGGCAGCAGGAACGGTGAGTTCTGCGCCCTTTGTGCTCAGGATATGAGATACACATTGGGCAGGGATGAAGACAGTACCTCAAGGCAGTTCCAGGCATAGCTGCCCTGCAGGTAACAATGAACATCATACTTTGACTCAGAGTTAGGGCTGAATGAGTCTGTGGCAGGGGAGCGGGGTGTCATTTTGCCCAAATCCGACATTTGGGCCAAAATCTTCAGATTTTCCTGAGATGTCCTGTTAGGACTAACATGGGCTCTCCCAATTCTCAAGCCATCGTTCTCTTCCTTGCAAAAGCATTTCCATAGTGTGTTTTGTGAGGAGTTCTACAGGATGCTAACAAGCGTTCAGTGAATCAAAGCAAAACTGGTTTCTACATGATGTAAGGAACAGCTAAGGGCCTTTAACCTGCTCAAGTGCATCTTGAATGTCTATGACAGAGACCCCAGTGGTAGCATTTACCAAGATGATTTAACCATGGAGTCCTTCCTCCTCCAAAAATCTCACAGGAAAATGTTTTAAAAAATGAACTTGAGAAAACCCTGCCCCAGGTGGCACTGTCTCCCCTAGGATGTATCACCTTTTTAGTATGTCATTGTTGGTCCACACAGATATTTTGAAAATATTCAGGTAACTTCTAAACTCAGAGGAATAACAGTTGGCTCATCTTAAATCTGTGAGATCCAAGGAATTATCACTTAAGCAAGAAGCACCCCCACGAGCCACATCATTTCGCGAAGTGCCAGTACGCCTTTTGGAATCCCGCTCAGGTAGGATGGGGTGTGAAACCCGAGACAAGAGGAATGCTACAGTTCGGCGGCAGAGGAGACTGCCACTCCGCCTGCTCCAGAAGGGCTTTCTCAGCTTCATCGTCAGCATCAGTGATTGCCAGCCAGTCTTCCTCAGCTTTCAGAGGACAAGGTCCTCAGCAGGTACACAAATCCCTATGTGAAACTGAAAATAATGTCAAAATCTCTGCTACAGATTCAAACGCTCAAATTTGAGTGAATTTGAATCATTGGGCAACACTGCTATATCCCACGGTTTCTCTCCCACAGGCATTACAAACTAACATTGGAGGAAAATTCATTTCATTTAAGACAACCTATGACTTCCTGTTCTCTTTTAGCTTGTGAAAATAAACAGTAGGGCCAAGAGAACAGAGACTAATACAAGACTGAAGGTCAAGCCGCATGTTCCCAACATAATTCTGTGTGGCAGTGAGGTTTGAGACTGTGTAATGGAACTATTAAGGGCTACAACAAATAGCACAATAAAAATCTGAATATCTTTTTGCCCTGTCATTTTATTTCTGCTCCGTGTTCTCCTTTTCTCTCCACTTCAAGAAAAGGCATCTTCATCCATTGCTTCCCTTGTCTTTAAAGCACAGTGTTTTCCATAAAACATCAGTGGCACTGCCAACGACATTCAAACCATCTCCAGCCGGGTGTGGTGACTCACACCTGTAATCCCAGCACTTTGGGAGGCTGACGTGGGTGGATCATGAGGTGAGGAGTTCAAGACTAGCCTGGCCAAGATGGTGAAGTCCCATCTCTACTAAAAATCACAAAAATTAGCCAGGTGTGCTGGCAGGCGCCTGTAATCCCAGCTACTTGGCAGGCTGAGGCAGGGGAATTGCTTGAACTTGGGCAGCAGAGGTTGCAGTGAGCCAAGATTGTGCCACTGCACTCCAGCCTGGGTGACAGAGTAAGACTCCTTCTCGAAAAAACAAAAAAACAAAAACAAACAAACAAACAAAAAAACTATCTCCACCTGAACAGATACTGCCTATCTTACTGAAACATGGCATTTGTCTTCCCTATTTGAAAGCAAAAAGTCCAGAAAGATGTGGAAAGAAGGAAAATCAAGAGGTGGAAGATATTGGTTTATCCCGAAGTTCTGCCCAATTCCTTCCTCAAAAAAATATTTAGTACTTGGCCCATAATTTAAAGTTGAAACACATACCTTCCAGTTAACTTTAGATCTAAAATATCTGGTCAAAAATACATGCTGGCTTTTAATGTGAGTCAAGCTGCAGTCGAATTTGGCTTTAAAATGTCTTCTGAGAAGCTGCCTATGCATTTCTCTAAAAAGAGCTCCTTTATTCAACCAGATGCCGTGTCTCTTGAGAGATTACGCACCATAAAAATGAGGAAGTAGCAAGACAATTACTATGAAAATTGTAAATTACGGTACTCTATGATCATCTTTATTGGGGCAGTCCTGTTGAGCTAGCCAAGGAAGAGAACCCTAATATCAATCACACTCTCCCCATTGCTAAACCTGAGCCTGGTGAGGAAGGCATTCAAGGGAAGAAACAAAAAGTAATGCTGTGCACAGAACCTAAACTTGATACTAGCAAACAGCATGGATGAGTCCAAACTTAAGGAGAGCTCTTTACTTAGCTGTCTAGCTCCCTCATCGTGGCTGTAGCTATGAACCAGCTTTCACCTTCCTATGGCAGCCAAATCATGGTGCGAAGATAAGACAATCACTGCCCTTTGTAATTACCAAGCCTTCTACAGGAATAAACTGCCCTGTGTATGGCTATAGAAAGGTGACAGTCTGATGTTGGGGAAGGGACTGGGGCTTCTTATAATCATGCATGAACCTAATTGATGTCCTGTGTTTGATTAGACAGTGATCTGTCTGTGATGTATAGACACAGTTTTCTTTATGTAGGTAAGAGTACATGGGTAGGTACTGTCAGCCAGCCATATCATTTTAAATAAAGCCAAGAACTGGCCAGAACAGGAAGAATAGATCAGTTACTGGTGGCCTCAGCCAATAACCAGGTAGAAAACGGGTCCCACAGAGGGCTGAAAAAGATGAACTGGTCAAGGCTCACAGGAAAAGGGATGACTGTACAGCCCTTTGATTCTCTGCCTCCTGGGAGATGGGGAGCCTGGAGAACACTACTCACTGGATGAGATGGTCATAAAGCTTCAGGAGGAAATAGCCAACAGATGGGCATGTCCAGTGTCCAGGACATGGTGGTAGTGGGGTGGAAAGGGCAGGTACTAGGAAGACTTGGAGGAGAGGGATCAATGAGAACATAAAGGGACTATGGCTCTGTACCGCATTTATGCCAGTTCCTTGCTGAGTCATCAAGTCTCTACCAGACTGCAGCTGGGGACCAGCTCCCCAAAGAGGCAATAGCTCTATTCTGTCTGAAAAGACAGGGCAGCTGCCACTGGTGTGATGGGAGACAACAGATCTGGTGGAGTTTGATCTAACAGGTGATTCATTCATTCAACAAACACATATTGAGCATCCACTATGTGTTATTCTTGCTGCTGGTGACAGAGTAATGGACAAAACAAATGACTCTGTCCTCTTAGGGGCAAATATTCTAGTAGAGGAGATAGGGATTGAAAGCCTGATGGTTCAAGATTTCAGGGTAGAGTTCCCATTTTATAAAGAAGAACTATAGAGCCTAACGAAGTCCTGTTCAGTAAGACCTTTTTGCAATATAAGCCTTGAGAGTTAAGGCTGGTCCCTTGGAAACTGGGTATCAGACTCAAAAGTCTCTTCCTACAGCATTATGTTATTCGACACAGTGACTACCAACCATGTGTGGCTATTTAATTATTTTATTTTTAAATAACATTTAAATTTCAGTTCCTCAGCCTCACTAGGCACACTTCAAGTGCTCACTACCCCTGTGTGGCCAGTGACATTAGTGATATTAGATAGGATATAGAACATTTCCACCATCTCATAAAGTCCTTTTGAGAGACACAAGAGAGTTACCACATGCCCTTAGGACATACATTGAATTGGTGAAGGCCTATGTGTGAAGCCATGCAGAAATGGACATCATCACCACACCAAGGCCTTCAGGCTAATGCTTATCAAAATTCTCCTTCTCAGGACTTTCCTCTCATCCCAGGAGTTGGAGTTGGTGATCCTTCTCAGTGATCACCCAGCCTCTTCTATTTCCCTTAGCTTAGCATGAAACACACTGTACCATGATGATCTGTTTGCCTGTCTACCTCCCTGTGGTAGTCACTGATGCCCCCTTCTTTGGGGACTCCAGTCTAGGCAAAGCCACAATAATCCTGACTAGTCCCCAGGGTTTTAGATGGCTGACCTTACCCACCGGTCTTCAGGCATCAATGGTGGGTGGGCATGCAACTCAGAGCAGGCTAATTCTTGGACTTTCATCCAAGCTTCTGGGGCAGATGCCCTCTGCTCCCCTGGAACACCCACTGAGAAATCCTGCCAGGCCTGTTCCCCATTATGAGGAGATCACCTGCCAGTGAGACAAGGTTAGAATGGAAGAAGACAGAAATGAGAGCTGAAAGGAAGGATTCAAATTCCAAATGACTTTGCTCCAGTCTCTCATTGCTGAGTACTGAAATCCAGCTGTCGCCCAAATGGCACACTCCCTAGATTTCAAATTACATGAGCCAGTAAGTGTGCTTCTTGCTGGAGGTAGTTGGAATTGTGTTTCTGTCACTTGCAACCAAAATCCACGACAAACGCATGTCCCCACAAGAGGGAGCTGGATGAGGGCAGAGACCTCTTCTGTCTAGTTCATGATTTTATCCTCAGGGCCTCATACAGGGTTTGGTACAAAGTCAGAACTCAGTAAGACTGAAGAAAGACTCCCTCTGCTTAAGAACAGGCACACTTACCACTGACTCACACCACTCTAACAATGGAAAGAAGCATCCTGAAAAGAAAAACATCCTGGCAAAATGCTCATGATCACTCGTTGAGTCATATGTCCAGGAGGCAAGAGGCATGCTCTGTGTTTAGAACCAAGCACAGAGTTGAGTGGCCACATGACATTTATCAAGGCATTGAAACACCTTGGTAGACTGCGGCCCATGTCTTCACTAACATAGAAATTATGCAGGCATTTTACAGAGCCACATCCTGCCCAAAATGTCCTAAAAGAACAGTAAGCATGGCTGAACCAATTGTTCTGACTGATAAAAACCTTGTATATAAATTAATCTCCCCTATTACACAAACCTTTTATGAGGATTCCCTTTATTTTCAAACGTCCTAGTAACCATAGATTAAAGACTCCCTATTGACGGAGACAACAGGTGATTTGTGGTTTCTACTTATCTGTCTTGGCCTCTTCACAATGCCACATAGTGAGAGGGGTGGACACCCAGGGGCTTCCCAAGCAGAGCAACCTCTCTGCCAGGCTCTGATTTCAGCAATATCTGCATCAGATTTGCTCTCTGTTGAGTGTATCAAGGCAGATTGCAATTTGGTGGCACTGGAACTTTAATCGCCCACTGTTTATTATGGCGTTATCTTTAATAGGATGCTTATTGTTTACATTTCTGTGAGCTCTGGGAGGAAGCACACGTGCTATGCTGAACATGACTCTTGGGAAATGTTCTGTAATCCGGTGAAGCAGAGACCCAGCAGGCAATTCTCGGGGGACAGATGCTGTGCACGGGGCAAACAACTCCACAAGGCGGAGGCCGGCAGTCTCTGTGCCTCAAAGTGGGAAGCCATCAGGTGCCTAGTCTTACTTAATGAAAACATAAAAGGCTTCACTTAATTGCTCCAAGATTATGCAGGGTGGTTTTTTTCCCCCTTCTTTTAGGTTGAGCTTGTTAATTTCTGCAGCTGTGATGTTGGCACAATTGCAGCCCCGAGTCCTGTTTTCACAACTTGTAAGCAAAATTAAAACTTCCCTTTTTAATTAGAATTCAAACCAAGCCAGAATTAAAATCCTACCACAAAGCAGAGGCTGAGAAGGCTCCAGAAGGAACACCTGTTCCAAAGGCATGAGGGACAGCCTCTGAGATACGCACCACTGGGGGTGCCTGGGGTGCTGGGGCTGCTGCAGGCGCCCTCTGCGGAGGGTTGTTGCCATCAGCGATGCGTGGGCCATTTCAACATCTTCCCGCAAGGGGAGTCGGCTCTGGGGTGGACAAATCACGTTCAAATTCTCTATTTCTTATGCCTGTTAGTGAGAATTCAATTGCCCAAGTATGAATTGCTCTTTTCCCCAATAATAATAATTACAGCAGTAATAGCAGGTATTAGTAATAAGGCCAAACTCTTGTTCAGAAGTATTAAATAAGGTACATTTCACACCACAGTTCTTCACATGTGGTGACAGCTCTGTGAATTATTCTACTGAGAAAGGTACAGATCCAGAGAGTTCTGTGATCACGTCCTATGTGTGCGCATGCCCATGTGGATGCCACCTTGCCACTCCTGTCCTGCACCCTGACAACAGGTTTGCACTTCATCTTTCATTTTCTTCTAAGAGAAGGCAGAAAAGTTTTAACCTCAAACCCTAAAGAAAAATATCTCATTACCAGTTATCATTAATCTGAGTCATAATTGTCAATGCAGGGATACTCACCCGGATACTGCCTAAAAAAGCCCTTTGCACTTCCGAAGTACTGCCATATGAGAGACGGGTCACGGTCAAAGTTATCTACAAAAACTTTGTTTAGGGATTCAGACCAATAAACCCCATTGACAATTGCAGGGTCTGTAAAAAAGAAAGAGAAAGAGAGGGGTGTATTAGAAAACAAAGTGAAATAAAATTCCTTTTATTTCCCACACCGCTTGGCAGATATTGGCACGAGGTACTCCATCTTGCAGGAGGCTATGAAGAAAGTTATAGCCTCAAAAACATTTAGCTCCCGGGGATTCCAGATGCTGGGGATTCCCCTCCTGCCTGAGCCCTCCTAGTCTCCCAGGAGCCTCTAACTATGATTCCTTACTTAAAAGACACTTCCTTTTATTTGTACCTTTCAATGTCACATATCCCATAGAGAAAATCACATAATCCTCTTTAAGAAAGCAGAGAGAGACCTTATTAGCATTATTTTCCTGCTTTTCCCCCTACTGAGCCAGAACTCAGTATTAAAAATAGGAAAACTGTATTTTCTCTCACTGTAATCACCTCAGCCACCAACATAGCCCTATTCTATTTCTCTTTGCCCTGACTTAGAAGTTTGCTTTTTTAAAAAAAATAAATAAATTGAAATTACATAACTAAATCTCTCTAATTCTGCTATTCAGCAGAATGTGAGCTCTGTGAAAGCACAGACTACCTCTTATGGTCTTTTGCTGTACCCTTTGACCAGCACATGGCAGAAGCTCCAAAACTCTTGTAGAGGAATAGAAGGAAGGATGGATGGATGGTGATATGATTTGGCTATGTCCCCACCCAAATCTCATCTTAAATTGTAGCTCCCATAATTCCTGGTGGGAAATAATTGAATCATTAGGGTGAGGCAGGTCTTTCTTGTGCTGTTCTCATGATAGTGAATAAGTCTCACAAGATCTGAGACTTTTTTTGAAGGAATTTTATAAAGAGGTACTCCCCTGCATATGCTCTCTTGCCTGTTGCCATGTAAGATGTGCCTTTGCTCCTCCTTTGCCTTCTGCCATGATTGTGAGGCCTCCCCAACCATGTGGAACTGTGAGTCAATTAAACCTCTTTCCTTTATAAATTATCAAGTCTTAGGTACGTCTTTATTACCAGCATGGGAACAGGCTAATACAGAAGGACAACACAAAGATTGTTCTCCAGATACCAGGCAATCATTTACTCTTTTGCCATGGAATCCCATGAGCAAATCTCTTTTCCTCACCTACCGTAGCCCAAAGATAACTCCTTGCCTTCAGTTCAGAGATTTTAAAAAATAACCGTGAATTCCTATTCAACACAATATTGGAAGTCCTGGCCAGGGCAATCAGGCAAGAGAAAGGAATAAAGGGCATTCGAATAGGAATAAAGGAAGTCAAATTATTCCTGTTTACAGAAGACATGATCCTATACCTAGAAAACCCCATAGTCCCAGCCCAAAAGCTTCTTAAGCTCATAAACAACTTCAGCAAAGTCTCAGGATACAAAATCAATGTGCAAAATATCACTAGTATTCCTATACACCAACAACAGTGAAGCTGAAAGCCAAATCATGAATGAATTCCCATTCACAATTGCCACAAAAAGAAAAAAGTACCTAGAAATATAGCTAACTAGGGAGGTGAAAGATCTCTATAAAGAGAACTTCAAAGCACTGCTCCAAGCAATCAGAGATGACAGAAACAAATGGAAGATGTTGCATGCTCATGGATAAGAAGAATCAATATTGTTAAAATGGTCATATTGCCCAAAGCAGTTCATAGATTCAATGCTATTCCTAATAAAATACTGTCGAGATTCTTCACAGAACTAGAAAAAACTATTTTAAAATTCACATGGAACTAAAAAAGAGCCTGAATAGCCAAGGCAACCCTAAGCAAAATGAACAAAGCTGGAGGCATCACAGTACCTGTCTTCAAACTATATTACAGGGCTACAGTAACCAAAACAGCATGGTACTGGTATGAGAACAGACACATAGACCAACGGTACCAAATAGAGAGCAAAGAAATAAGACTGCATGCCTACAACTATCTTATCTTTGACAAACCTGACAAAAACAAGCAATGGGGAAAGAATTCCCTATTCAATAAATGATGCTAGAATATCTGGCTAGCCACATGCGGGATATTAAAACTGGACCTCTTCCTTATACTGTATACAAAAATTAACACAAGATGGTTTAAACACATAAATGTAAAACCCAAAACTATAAAAACACTGGAATACAACCTAAACAATACCATTCAGGACATAGGCACAGGCAAATATTTCATGATGAAGACACCAAAAGCAATTGCAACAAAAGCAAAAATTGACAAATGGGATCTAATTAAACCAGAGAGCTTCCACATAGCAAAAGAAACTATCAACAGAGTAAACAGACAACCTACAGAATAGGAGAAAATTTTTGCAAATTATGCATCTGACAAAGGTCTAATATCTAGCATCTATAAGGAACTTAAACAAATTTGCAAGAAAAACAACCCCATTAAAAAGTGGACAAAGGACATGAACAGACATTTCTCAAAAGATGGCATACATGCAGCCAACAATCATATTTTAAAAAGCTCAACATCACTGATCATTAGAGAAATGCAAATCAAAACCACAATGAGATACCATCTCATACCAGTCAGAATGGCTGTTATTAAAAACTCAAAAAGTAACAGATGCTGGTGAGGTTGTGTAGAAAAAGGAACACTTGTATACTGTTGGTGGGGGTGTAAATTAGTTCAACCATTGTGGAAGACAGTGTAGCGACTCCTCAAAGACCTAAAGACAGAAATACCATTACACTCAGCAATCCCATTACTGGGCATACACTCAAAGGAGTATAAATCAGTCTATTATAAAGATACACCCATGCATATGCTCAGTGCTGCACTATTCACAATAGTAAAGACATGGAATCAACCTAAATGTCCATCAATGATAGACTGGATAAAGAAAATGTGGTACATATATGCCATGGAATACTATGCAGCCATAAAGAACAACGAGATCATGTCCTTTGCAGGGACATGGATGGAACTGCAAGCCATTATCCTTAGCAAACTAACACAGGAACAGAAAACCAAATACTGCATGTTTTCACTTATAAGTGGAAGCTAAATGATGAGAACACATGGACCCAGAAAGGGGAACAACACACGCTGGGCCTTTCAGAGGGTGAAGGTTTGGAGGAGGGAGGGGGTTAGGAAAAAAAACTAATATGTACTAGGCTTAATACCTACGTGATGAAATAATCTGTACAATAAACTCCCATGACACAAGTGTGTCTATATAACAAACCTGCACATGTACCCCTAGACTTAAAAGTTGAAGTCAGGCGTGGTGGCTCACACCTGTAATGCCAGCACTTTGGGAGGCTGAGGCAGGTGGATCATTTCAGGTCAGGAGTTCAAGGCCAGCCTGGCCAACATGGTGAAAGCCTATCTCTACTAAAAATAGAAAAACTAGCCAGGCGTGGCGGCAGGCGTCTGTAGTCCCAGCTATTCGGGAGGCTGAGACAGGAAAACAGCTTGAACCTGGGAGGCAGAGGTTGCAGTGAGCCAAGATTGCACCACTGCACTCCAGCCTGGGCAACAGAGCAAGACTCCGTCTCAAAAAAATAAAATAAAATAAAAGTTGGAAAAAAAATAAGAGTGAAGACAAAGAAGGAGAATAAACAAGTATTTCCTGTACACTGGCTGAAGCCATGTGGGTCACTGAGGATGCTCTGTGATGGTTCACTTTTTCTTTTTTAACCTCTGAAGACCCTGTTTCAAAATGATGCCACATTAAGCAACATTCCATTCTTAGAGGAGAAATAGTTGTCAAGTGTCAGGAGGAAAAGTTTGAGAATGATTACATGAGTTATTAATGATGAGGAAGAGGAGGAGGAGGAGAAACTTTCACTGAGTCCTTCCTGGGGTATAGGCGTGGTGCTTACTTTATCTCCTATCCCCCCTCAGCAGCCCAGCCCTCCAAGGCAGGCTGGATCCCTTATTCTCCTCCACTCTCTAGCAGTGGAAACTACAGCACCAGGAAACAAGGTACTTTCCTAAAAACATCCAGCTACTAAGGGCCAAAGCCTCTGATCTGAGGTTTCCTTGTGTGAAAAATGGCAAAATAATACCCACCCTATACATATGCACCATGGAATAATACATGGTCCCAAAAAAGAATGAGATTGTATACTTTGCAGTGACATGGATGGAGCCAGAGGTCATTATCCTGAGTGAATTAATGCAGGAACAGGAAACTAAACAGCCTATGTTCTCACTTATAAGTGGGAGATAAACATTGAGTACACATGGACACAAAGAAGGGAACAACAGACACTGGGGCCTACTTGAGGGTGGAGGGTGGGACGAGGGTGAGGATCAAAAAATTACCAATTGAGTACTATGCTTATTACCTGGGTAATAATCTGTATGCTAACTCCCTGTGACATGCAATTTACCCATATAACAAACCTGCACATGTACCTCCTGAACCTAAAATAAAAGACGGAAAGAAAAAAAAATACCCACCCTAGAGACCTGTTTAAAAAGTTAAACAAATCAACAGAAAACAGCTAATGGCCAGAGGCACTCACGCAGCCATCAATGGGGCTGTTCCCTTGGCCTAGAGCCCTGTACCCTCACCAGAGTTCCCTGCTGGACGCCTAGTCATGCAATCCCACTGTGACATCCTCATTCCAGAGATTCATCAATACCATACAGACAGGAAGGGTAAGGATGGATGAGGTTACTCCAGTCGTCAAGTTGCAGAGGAAACAACAAGCAACATGATGCTAGAAATGGTCATATAAGTCAGGTCCACTTACGAGGACACTCAGGAATGGCCCCAGTGCACCTCCCCTCCTCCACAGCTGCCTACCCCTTTCCAGCGGCAGCCCCAGGACATCCATCTGCAGAGCTCTAGAGTCCACAAAATGGCACCAGGGCCAGTGGGCAGACACGATGTCCTGGCTTGTTGTGGCACCTCTGCCCTGCCTTATTCATTCAGATCACTGAGGTAACTGGGGTTCTGAATTCCATCTCAAGGGCAAATGCTGTAACTCTTGTAAACTGTAATAAACCCCATCATAGCCTGGGGGTGTGAAAATGACCCAATCAGTCTTTTAC